TCGGCAGGGTTTTTACTGCCCCATCCAATGCATGTGCCCTGCAATGTAGGGTTCCAGTTCTTGCGTACGGGGTTGCAGGGGAAAAGCGCGAGCATGAAAAAAGTCAACCCCCAGAGTGAGCATATCAATATCATGCCCCAGGTGATACGGCGTGCGAGTCGATATTGAGCGGTAGTGGTGGAGGGCGCGGCTTCGGCAAACAGTCGCAGATATTGTATGAGGATAGAGAGCTTGATGAGCGTTGTGCTTGCGGTGTACGCAGCATTTGTCGAGTAGATGTGCTGAAGCCAGCGTTAGCCTGGCAACTCAATGTTATGTCGGGATGTATTACCTTAAAATACGACGTTAGATGCTCAGCATCGAGTGTCCACAAATGCAGCCCAAGACCATCCTCGGGCACTGTAAATGATTAGTCAACCGCATTATTCGTGGGATCTCAACAAACATACTCATGCAAACCATGATGTCTCCGATGAAACTCGCCGTAGCAGCAAGAACAACAAAGACATCATCCCAACCCCAAAGGCGTTCCTTGATGCGGAACCATAATCGGAAGCTCAGTGTGAAGATGGCAAGCGCCTGATAGACTTAGTACATGACGTCTGATGGGATGACTTCTCAATCATCGCACGTACCAGGAAGGAAACAGTGACCCCGAGAATTGTCGCAGGTTCGTTGACGTTTGGCAAGTTCGCATTGTCAGGATGGTTTTTCGGATCTTGTAATAGAGCAGTGTCGGTGCTCATGTTTGCGCACTCGATGTGGAGGTATTACGGTAGAGGCGAGCGAGCGTCGTGTCGGTTAGCGAGTCCGGATATATGTGAAGGTAGTATAGCTAGTTGCGATAAAGCTCCATTACATGGTCCTGCCAACGTTCTGGAAAGATGGAAGATGGACCTGCAAGAGATGGTGCTACAATGGATCCAAATCGAGGCCGCGTTCGAGGCTGCATCAGACGAGGAGGTGTAGTGGTCTAATACGTTAAACGGTGGGTCTCTCGTGCCGAACGTCCAAGTCATGACATGCGTGCGTTGCCCTCCCTACGACACATGGTGCAACCCCTGCTGTCCCGCATGGAGGATCAAAAACGGGGTCGTGCAACTAGCGGCAGGTGAGCCTGTACATGTCCGAACCCCTGCTGTGATAGGTGTGATGGGTTGCAGCGCAAGGGCTTCTCCTACTCGGTCCTTGTGAGACATTAGACACTGGCGTAACTGGCAACGCTTCTTTCGAAGATGACAGCGTTTGACTAAGCTGGCGACCTATCATTTACACATTCGTCGACGAACTACAACGCGGGGGCGCCGCAAGGGTCCACATTAAGGGGGGCGAAAGCAAGTCATGGAGGTTGTCTGATCGCTTGTCGTTCACCTGTGTTGCAGCCACGAACAGGATGAGCAAAAAGTCGACAAGAGTGCGCGCGATGGTGGCAACAGGATAGTCTGCCGACAGTCGAGTTTGATTGGTACCCCGCAAAACAGCCTTGCAACCTGGTCGCCTGAAACCAGATAGCCCAGAACTTTGTTGCTTAGGTTTGCTTTAGATACTGGATATATGCCACTTTCTTGATTTTTCTTCTCCTAGCCTTGCTCAAGTTCCTGCAATAGATGTGCCGCAATGTCGCTTCATCACAAACAAAGGAAAGAAAGCCGGCTGGACACAGGCGAGCCAATAGAGTACGATCTGTGAGCGAGCGTGCAGCCTGTCTTATCCAGGGGATCCTATTGAAGATCAAATCCTTTGGAAAGGAAGCTCCCGTTGGTGGCGTCGGGATGAAGGAGCATGATGCGGAATGAATGGTCGCAGGTCGTTCGAACAGCTACGGTTCGCAAGGGTGGATGACTCGTTTCACGACTCTCCGTGGTCCACACCACTCGAAGCGAGCAGCTATAGAGCCAGCCCCCTGGCTTGCAAAGTCTCATGGCCTTGATGACAACAGTGGCCATGGAGATCTCGGTGTTGCCGTATGGTTCGCATCGCATTTCGGAGCCGGCCAATGGAAATCTAAGTCGAGTTGCACGCGAGGTATACAGTTTCGCGGAGGTTGTAGCTCTACTCTAGTCGAGCGCGCGGGCGACACGGTGCTTTACCGGGGCATGACGCGACGATGGTTCTGTAGCGGCGCGGCGGTATTCCAGGAAGCGTCCCGTTTTGTCCCCATGTCCCTTTCCTTTTTAACCTCCTATCCGCCATGGCAGTTCCAGCCTGGGGCCTCGGGGCAACAAACATTTGGGGACTACGCCTCGGTCAGATATCGGCAAGGGAAGTCTGTAGCGCAGCCCACTGTATCTGATGGCGGTGCTGGGCCTCGTGGAGCGATTCATGGATGTGGCATGTTGCGACTTCGCAACACGGTGAATCTGTCGCTATAAGAGAGTTGGGCTAAGGGCGTGCTGCATGATGGGTAGGAGATTAATCAGAACCCACGCCGCAGCCATAACCACGCCTCGCGCCCTGTTTCTACCTCAATGTCGCTTGGTAGCAGCGACGCAACCTCGGAATGCAGCTCTCGTATACCGGTAGCCTCTCCGGGTCCATGATGAGGTCAGATGAAAAGCGATGAAACGTGAGGGTGTAGGGGGGTTCGCGACTCTACATGGGTGATGGTAAGCGGCCAAGGGTCTTGAAAAAGCATCCGAGATCAACAGGGCAGTTGCCCAACGTCGTCGCATGGCCACACACCCTCCGCCTGCCATGAGGCGCAACACCTTATCTAGCTGAAGCCATATTACTCTTTCTCAGCTATACTGAACAATACAGCTGCCTCGGCTTGTTTGCTTTCCTATCGCAGTAGAGACATTGGGGAAGAGGGCTAACGCTTCGAGGCTTGCAACACCGTGTACCTAAGTAAGCTTGCGATAACGCGCCGCCGTTCGAGGCCATCGATAAACGCAGCATCGCTCCCACTACTGCATCAGAATCCATCCCCGGATCCGTCGCGTTTTCAGAGCGGTTCGATGAAAAAAGCATAGGACCCTCCCGCGATGTCTCTGCAACTTCCATCACTCCTCGGACCCAACGTGAACGCGTATGCCTGGTATGGCTCTAGGATCAATGGATGGCAGTGAAACAGCACATCGGAAAATTTGAATCGGACGTTGCGCGACGGCTGGCATACCGAAACAGAGCTTCGTAAACTTGATGGCAGATGCAGTCAAGCGCCCCAGTTCTGCTTCACCGTTTTGTCCGCACTGCCCTGGACCCTGTTCAGACATAGATCCGGTGGCTATCCTCAACGGCGACGGCTAGGACCAAACATGGTTCCGCGGGCAGTAGCTGCCGACCTCAGGCCAAGCTATCGATGCAGCCAACAGCCAACGGCTATCACAACATTTAGTCCAGCAACGCTGACCATACCGCTTGTACCCGACCATATACGTTCGCTCCATTTTCCTCTTCCCACAAAACTCCGGAATCGATTCTGCGCCTACCTCAGCCTTTTCCCACGCGGACTCCACCAGAAAGCGGGCCTGCAAAGCGTTACCTCGAACAGGCCATCGTCCGGGATTCTTCTCGAATGAATCCACAAAAGCCCCTCTTGATAATCCACTGTACGACCCAAAAGAAAGTCCACGTTGCGTGACCACGGAAGCGGCAGAACTACCCCGACTCATGGCCCGACTGATGTCCACATCCAGTGGGACGGTCTTCTCCCAAGGGGGGAGCTGCCGCTTGTGGCTACTCATTTAGGGTGCAAGTAGACGGTGCCAAGACATGGCAATCTGAGCGATGCACGCGCCTTGGTATGGCTGTCTTCGGGCTTATCATCGCTCAGGCGTTACAGACAATTACACTGTGGGTGACGTTTTGTCTATCTTGGGATAGAGAAGAGACAAGTCGGGGCGACTGCGGTACATCGGCGGGTTTTGCATCGGTGCGAACTGTACGTGATGAACCTCGTTGCTTCTGCATAGTAATCCCGCCAAGTATCCGAGAGATATTAAAAACACGACTGCTCAATAGTCTGCGACCTCAAAGTAGAGACAAAGCCTAGCGTATATGTACAATACAGTATCCTGTACACCAGGACAAGGTAATGTCACTGGTTCTGTTCTTGTGCCTGTGTCGTCTATCTACGCAAGTAAGCCGATGTCCATAGACAGCTCACATGAGACCAGAAGTAAGTCCGCACTGGATCCTGAAAACCGCGGAAGACTCGTTACTATCATGCCTCTTCTCAAGCTAGACATCCACTCTACAGCTCAAGTAGCATCAAGTCTTCTCCAGCGTCCACGACGATGCCTACAATGCGCGATGACATCCTACCGACATAGCGCCGCGAGTCATATCAAGTGTCTCTCCATTGATGCGCTTTGTCTATGCTGTAACAGTGATATGTGACTTGCTGCCACATATCCAGAGGGTGAAACTATGCCGCAGCTTCATTGCACTGCAAATAAAGCGTAAGCTTCACTAGAGGCTATGCCGTATTCTCCAGGAGAAACCTCCAGTCTTGTCACGTCGAAGGTCTCTTTTACATCCGCTTCCCTCAGCGTGCACTGACACCCTGAATACATGGAGTATCTCCGAGCTGACATGCCTTATTTGTGTTTTCTAGCTAGCTGTCGGCATATCGATGTTGTCCCATGGAAGCCGAATAGCATACAAACCGAACATGAGAACACACAAGGCCTAAAATACGCTTCTTTGGAAGCGAGACGAAAGAAGAAAGACATCGCCATAGAAGTCCGGAGAGGGAGTGCGGCAAGTAGAACGAAGCGTTGAGGTGTGGTATGCGATGATGGAAACGCAGTTTTAACCTGGACATTCCAAGTGCCCGAGGGGAAAATGTTGAAGACTGACAATTGCGATCAAGGTACAGCAGAGAGAGAGGGGAACATACGTCTCGAATGATGACATTATGCAGAGAACAGGAGTATTGAGCAAATCGAACCGAACAACGCAGACAGCAACTTGAAGATATCCCGTACATCCCCCCTCCAACACATCTTCCCCACCCCTCTCCTCCCACCCCACAATCCCCGCGCACTTCATCACACCTAAGCAGTCTTCCTCCACTGCCCCCAAACCCCCAGCAGCGAACTCGTCGTACCCGCCAAGCCCACAATGCCATCATCCAAATCAACCCAACCCAGCGCGCTGCTCGGAATAGTAATATCGCAAAGATCGCTAACCAACTGCACTTTAACAGCATTGAGTTCCTTCTGCAACTTCTTCGTCTCAACCACCTTCTCCGGGTCCGAGGACTGAGTGATGGTCTTGGAGTGCTGGAGCAGGTTGTAGTATTGGTAGAGGCCCGAGGCGATGGAGAAGGAGATGCCGGCGAACCAGGCGCGGTAGCCTTCGCGGAGGAGACGCGGGGCGAAGGAGGATTTGCGGATGGATGTAGCGTCGAGCTGGGGGGTTTTGTTAGCTTTCCTGATTTGTTGTGTCTGGTGTTATCGGGGTGCGTGGACTCACCACACAAGCATTGTCGCAGAGCATGTAGAATGCATATCCCAACTGTCTTCCTACGGCTGTGAACCTCAATATGGGATCCATGCTCTTGGCATCGCTGGCTACAGCCGCAGCGCGGAAGTGCTCGACGAACTTGCCCACGCGCATCAACTTGCGCGTCGCGCCGAAGGTCTTCTTGGTCGCTTCATACGGGGCGATGGCCGAAGCGGGTCGGTTGGTGCGGTACAGGTACCAGGCGAGGAAGCGGGAGAAGTATTGGAGAGTGCGGAGGACCTTGTCGCGCCCGACTGAAAGGAAGGGTTAGTGAGGGATGTGCATGTTGGGATGTATGATACGGGGGAAGGTGAGACGGGGGTTTCGGATGTGAAATGGGATGACGCGGGAATGACGGATTGAATAGTGGGTATGGAGGATACGAGAAGAGGAAGCATACCAGTCGTCGCAACAAACTTCAAATAATGCGACACCGTCGGGTGGTAAACCAAAGCATCAGCAACCATCTTATCGGCTTCGTCGCTGCCCACGAATACGCTTAGTATGTATCGCGAAGGAGAGAAGTCCAGCTTCGAATCGTCGTAATTAATTTTCCGTCGTACTAGGGCGCGCGCTTGCTCTCGAGATAGGTGAAATCGAGTAAGGAAGGAACGTATGGGGGGGGGCGTGGTAGTGGAATGCGGAGATGGGTTGCGGAAGCGCAGGGAGTTCGGGCTTTGGATCTGATGCCATGCCAGGCCCCGTTTGCCGGGGAAAACGCGACCGACCTCGGCAACTCGATCCGCCTGCGTCACGGGCAACGTGATCTGGTGCGCGCGTACTTGGGCATTGGTGGCATGTGAATGTTGGCTATATCTAGTATTTTTTTCTATTGATACCTTTTCTCTACAAGATAGCTTGAATTTCCATCACGCGTATCGAGATAGTCCTTTTCTATGTTTTATTATTATCGCGACTCGTTGCAGCCGACTACCAAATACGAGGAGCACGGGGGACAGTATTCGTGGAAGGTAGAATTTCAATGAGCTTGTTTGGCTATCACAGGCCGTATGAATATCAGGAAGTCCTTCCAGATCTGACTTACAAGCCTGACCTGTCCTGCCATATGAAAATAGTATACACGTTGAAGATGACTTTTCCATCATCACCCCAGGCACTCCCGCCAGATCCCAGACGCCGATAATGCTACCCATCTAAACCTTGTAGAAACAGAATGCATGATAAAAGTCCGCCGCTTCCAACTCTTCTTCCGAAGTCAAGAGTCGGCCAGACGAGCGATCTCTGACCTTCATGACTTCGCTCAGAGGTCCCAGAATAGGATCGTCCTTTTGCTCCTCCCAAACCTCTCTGAAGGGCTTGCGGTACTGCAGCTCGAGGTTGAAGTCTTCTGCCAGCGCTCGGAAAGCTTCCCAGGGAACCACGTACTCAGGCGCCTCGACGGCTTCAGTGAGCCAGTACGAGTACTTCCAGCCAAACGGAGGACGAAAAGTGCCATCGGGAGGTGTCTTGCCAGGAAACTTGACGCTATAGATGCTGTTGCCGAAGCCGAAACCCTCGTCCTCGACTTCGCCGTCCTCTTGTTCGTCCTGCGCCTTCTCTTTCTCCTTCTCCTTGTTCTTCGGTTCGTCTGCCTTGTCGTCGTTCGCGTGCTCGGTATCGGCGGGCTTGGGACTATCAAGACTCTTCTCCGGGTCCCAGTCGTCCTCGTCGTCGCTTGCGAATGCGGGGCGGTCATCGTCGTCATCGGCACCGTCGACATCAGGCGGTGCCGTGCCTTTGGCCTTGTGATGCTCAATGACCTTCTGCGATAGCACGTCCGAGTTGGGTATGCAGCCAATGAAGCGTCCACCTTTCTTCAGCGCACCTGCGACATTCCGTAGCATGCCTCTTGCCTTGGACTCGCTCTCGAAAGCGTAGTGCATGCAGAACATCATGGTGACCATGTCCCAACCACCGCCGCCCCAGCGCTGGCTCATGGCATTGCCGCCGCCGGCTCCGGGATCGATGCCAACTTCCTTGATGATGGGTATGTCGCCTAGCCACTCTCCGAAGCAGTCTTTGGCGTAGAACTCGCCGTGAAACAAGCGCCGGTTCTTCCTCTGCATCTGGGCGAATCTGTCCTTGGCCTGCTTGATCGACACATCTGCGGGATCGCACCCAACGTATAGCTCCACCTTCCTCGACTTCTCCCACTTGCCCAGATCTCCGCCCTTTCCGCATCCGACATCGAGAACCTTGATATTGCGCTCGTCGCCGATGAATTTCTGAATGATGGACGATTTGACCCAGTTGTTGAAGCTGCGCAGGCCCTTGATCTTGCTGTCTGTGTTGCGCCATTCGCGGCCTCGCTCCGGGACGGCGTTGTAATGCTGCTTGACGACATCGTGCACACCTCTCTGCGCGGCTTCCTGCTGGGCCCTCCTCGCCGCCTCTTCTTCTCTCGCTTGCGCACGCTTTCGGGCGGCTTCGCGGTCGGCGGCTGACACTCGGGCACCTGCTCCAGGGCGCTTTCGCTGACGGGGCGGTGACCGTGATGGAGATCTCGAGGGTGAGCGCGCACGCTTTCTGCCTTGGTCGTTGTTCGCCATGTTGTGAAGTTTGGTGGTACGCGTCTGAAGGCCGGCTCCAAGTCCGACGCGTTGGATGAGGATGGGTGGTTTGCAGTGGCTCGGCTGAGATCTTCCAGGGACTGTTTTGATGCGAAAGGCAGAATTGAATCTCTACTGGAAACAGAAAGAGAGACTGAGAAGATAGGAGGAGCGAGTGAGGTAGCTTCTGTAGTTCTAGTTTGCGCTGGTCTCAAAGGCTGTCCGTGCGCGAGCTTTACTACGTCGGCGGAAGTCGAGCGGCGGGCATCATTCATCATAGCAACATCGCACACGGTCACGCCCCGTCCACCTTTACCACCACCCACCACCGCCCATCCTCTCACACCGCAAAGCAAACTCCAAGATGGGTGACCCGCAATTCGCCAAGTACCCCGACCTCCAGCTGTCGCAGAACATCTTCCAGCTCACCAATCCCTCCGCCTCCAAACAAGCCAAGCAATCCGCCCTCAAGTCGGTCCAAGATGCCATCACCGAGAACAAGATGGCGCCGCTCTACCGGTACCTCGCCCACCCGGTAGACGGCGTCCTGAATGCACAGGGCGAGGGCAGCGCAGACCAGCCAAACAAGAACCGGAGACCGTCTACCAGCTTAGCGACGATGCTTGCCACACGCACGCCCTCGTTAGAAGTTCCGCTGTCATGGGACGAGAAACTCTATGAGAGCCTCAAGGCGGAGAGCGAGAAGGAGCTCGAGGCGATACAGAAGGAGGAGGAAGAGGCCGAAGAGAAGGCAGGCGAGACCGAAGTACAGGCTGCGAGGGGCAAGCGCGCAGAGCTCTACAACCGCATAGGCGACAAGGTATGCAGAGCAGTATATATTGTTATATGATAGGACTAACAAGACCAGGACAAAGCCATTGCCAGCTACGAGGCCATCTTCGAGAAGACGGGCATCCTAGGCACCAAGATCGACCTCGTCCTCGCCATAATACGCGTTGCGCTCTTCTTCGGCGACAGGATATTGGCCAAGAAGTCGATTGACCGGGCAAGCGCATTGGTAGAGAGCGGTGGTGACTGGGATCGCCGCAACCGCTTGAAGGCATACACTGGTCTACACTACCTCACCGTCCGATCACACTCGCAGGCCGCCCCGCTACTGCTCGACAGCTTGTCAACATTTACCAGCTACGAGTTATGCAGCTACTCAAATCTCGTTGTCTACGCCATTCTCGCCGGTTCGGTGTCACTCAAGCGTGTTGACTTCAAGTCCAAGGTTGTGGATGCGCCTGAGATCAAGGCCATTGTCGGAACCTCAGAAGAGAAGCTCTCGGCAATCACTGGCCAGGCATCGGCAGGACCAACAGCTGGTGACGAGGAGATGGCAGATGCGTCAGGCTCGACAGCAACACCAGTGCCTACCCTCGTTAACCTCACCACTCTCGGCGGACAACAAGAGAAGGAAGTGCCAGTTGACTTCACACCACTGTCGAAGCTCGTCAAGAGCCTGTACGAGGGTGACTACAAGACCTTCTTCGGCGCTCTTGGTGAGGTAGAGACCAACTTCCTCAGCCAGGACCGCTACATGTACGAGCACCGTGGCTGGTACGTGCGTGAGATGCGCCTACGGGGATACCAGCAACTCCTCCAGTCGTACAGGGTCGTCGGCCTCGAGAGCATGGCCAAGGACTTTGGCGTCACCGTTGACTTCCTTGACAAGTGAGTGATATCCATCTTTCCCGTTCCAGCATCTTTGACTAACAACAACTAGGGACCTCGCTCGATTCATCGCCGCCGACCGCATACCCTGCACGATCGACCGCGTCAAGGGCATCATCGAGACCAACCGACCCGACGACAAGAACAAGCAGTACGCAGACGTAGTCAAGCAGGGTGACCAGCTCATTACCAAATTGCAGAAGTACGGTCAAGCCGTCAGGCTGAGGGGCAGTGAGCGCGGCTAGACTGTCACGATGAGGTGGACGTGTAATGATCTTGAGGCATTGTAGACTTAGACATACCAGCGAAAAGACGCTGAATGGAAGCAAAAGCATACCATGACCGTCTGCGCTTTCCTGTTGTGGCTCACCGGGTGGCATTGCCATATTCGCGTCGGGTCTAGCTCCGATATCTCCGTGATGCATGTGCGGCTCAACGAGCGTATTATGAAGGTGCGGTGAGATAACACAAAAGCAATGCTCCCTTCCATCGTACAACATACCCACGCGGCGTCCCGTGTCTTCAAAACTACTTCTACGCCCACGTTTACATCACATAGTTCGTAACAAGCTCCAACCCAAGCTCTTGGTTGAGACCCGCGTGGGTGGGGTCATCGCCTCGAGCAGCCGCCGATAAGCATCAATCAGGGTCCATCGACATGTCGCCGTCATCGGCTCTGAAATGCGCCTGTTCACTACGCCCTCCAGCCATGGCCAGTCGACGCCTTGGTGGCAGCGTGGGCTCTGGAGGTATTTGATCCCACTGCTCCTTTGTGCATGCGACGAGTAAAGCGTAAGAGATTGGCATATCCGCAACGCGCCGAGCCACCGAGGGGCAGCATCGTAGTGGCTCTACCCTACAAGTAGTGGGGCACCACGCGACGCAGCATAAAAAATATAGACCAGCCATTGACGCACATCATCTGCGTGTTTCGAGTACGTCGCGGGATTGAGTAGCGCTGGGAGATACACTTTTCGCCTGAGCTAAGTTATAGTCTGGACGTGTGCTCACCACCTTAGTCCTGTATAGACCCTTCACCTCCTCCACCCCTCCACCCCTATCTCCCTTCCTCGCTGGACGCGTAACGACCCAACTCTACAACCCCCCGTCGCACCTTCCCCATAGTCGAAGCATCATGTCCAAGGCCCCGCAGAAGGTGTTGCAGATTGGCAACATCAACCCGCACGTCAAGGCAGCCAAGTATGCCGTCCGCGGTGAACTAGCAGTCAAGTCGGAAGAGTACCGCGCCAAGCTGGCAAAGGGCGAGGGCAAGGACCTTCCCTTTGACACTGTCATCGCGGCCAACATCGGAAACCCCCAGCAACTAGACCAAAAGCCAATCACATTCTTCAGGCAGGTCGCGAGTATACTCGAGAACCCCGGCCTGTTGGAGCACGAGGATGTCCTGCTCAAGAGCCTGGGATACAAGTCGGATGTGCTTGACCGCGCAAGGAAGCTGCTGAAGGAGGTCAAGAGCGTAGGCGCATACAGTCAGAGTCAGGGTGCGCCAGGCATCAGGCAGAGCGTTGCAGAGTACATTGAGCGTGCGTATCTCACTACACCAATACAGACATTGAACTGACGGAAACAGGTCGCGATGGCTACCCAGCAAAGTTCGAGGACATCTACCTCAGCAACGGCGCCTCATCAGGCGTGAACACCCTCCTCCACACCATCTGCGCGAAGCCCGAGACTGGTATCATGGTCCCCATCCCCCAGTACCCTCTCTACACCGCGACCCTTTCCGTCCTCGACGCCCGCTGCGTGCCATACTACCTCAACGAAGACCAAGCATGGGGCACATCACTCGACTCAATTGCGACTGCATACGAGAGGGCTATGAAGGAGGGCACGGATGTCAAGGCTATCTGCGTCATCAACCCGGGTAACCCCACTGGCGCGTCGCTGCCCGCCGAAGACATCAAGGCTGTGCTCAAGTTCGCCGCCGAGAAGGGTCTCGTCGTCATCGCCGACGAGGTCTACCAGACCAACGTCTTCATTGGCGAGTTCATCTCCTTCAAGAAGGCTCTACGCGACCTGCAAAAGGAGTCACCCGGCCAGTACGACCACCTCGAGCTGGCTTCTCTGCACTCAATTTCCAAGGGCATGGTCGGCGAGTGTGGTCACCGAGGTGGCTACTTTGAGCTTATCGGCTTTGACCCGGAGGTCGCGCAGGAGGTCTACAAGTTCATCTCTATCCAACTGTGCCCGCCAGTCCTGGGCCAGTGTATCGTGGAGATGATGGTCAACCCACCAAAGGAGGGCGAGCCAAGCTACGAGCTCTACAAGGAGGAGTACGACGGCATCTTCCACGGACTGAAGAAGCGCGCGTACGCTTTGTATGAGGCGTTCAAGCAGATGGAGGGTGTCGAGTGCAACGAGCCACAGGTACATATTCCACGCCAACTACACATCGCATAGCTAACCCAAACATTAGGGCTCCATGTACCTCTTCCCCACCATCCACCTCCCAGAAAAGGCCGTCCAACAAGCCAAGAAGGAAGGTCGCGCGCCCGACGAGTTCTACTGCTTCCGCATGCTCGACGCCACAGGTGTCTGCGTTGTTGCTGGCACAGGCTTTGGACAGAAGGAAGGCACACTGCATTTCAGGACCACTTTCCTTGCTCCTGGAACCGACTGGACAGGGCGCATTGTCAAATTCCATGAGGAGTTTATGAAAGAGTTTAAGTAGACGTGTTGGCCGATAATAGGTTAAATGCGTAGAGAAGACTGTAGTATGAAATATGGCATGGACTGAATAGATCCGACGAACAACACTACTTCTTTTACTACCATTTCCTAGTCTGTTACCATGCCTTGACCTGTGTAATTGCCGAAGTACGTAGTAATGGTGGGGGCGGGGTAAAGAGGACTGATATATCCGAAGACGATCGCGACAACTGCCGTGCATTGTACCTGAATGGACCTTGGTCTTGGCTTATGCCGAATGACATGGGATATATCCATAGCTCCACGCCAGTGCTCAGCGTCATGTATATCGCGTGCGTCTTGCTCTGCGTGTTTTTGGCTTACCTGTCTACGCCCCTAGCTATTCTTCTCTAATCTCTGCGCGATGCAAATGGATAACTTCTTTTCGACTACCTAATATCATCATCGTCATTATCCAAGTCGTCATCACCACCAAATGAGCACCAACACCACGATGTGCACCCGACACCAATCTCCCTTTTACACGCAGCTCTCAACCCTCGAATCCCTCCCCGACGAACTCCTCGACCTAATCCTTTCCTACCTTCCCTCCAGAACCACCCTCCACACCCTCACCCTCGTCTCGCGACACCTAAACCGCCTCGCAACCGCCCACCTCTACACGCACATCACGCTCTACGGCGCCGACTTCAAGTACCTGCGTCCGCTCGCTCTCCTCTTCTGGACATCTCCGGCCCATCGCCAGCTAGTCCGTTCTTTTTCCGTGGTTCATGCGTATGGCGGGAATTTGGATCCGTGGCCGAAATGTGAGGGGCTGGATTTGGATGCGGTGATTAGAGGGAATGTGGAGTGCTTTGTTAGGAAGAGTGATTGGGGGGTTTGGGTTGAGGAGGTGAGTGATGGTTTTGTCTGGAGAATGTGTGTGAGGTTTACTGACGGAGCGCGCTTATGTTTTAGGTTAGGGATGGGAGTGATTCGACGCGAATTGCGAGTTTGCTGTTGAGAAGTTGTCCGAATTTGAAGAGGATGCAGTTGCCAGGGTTTGAGTTGGTGGACCCGTGTGGCAGGTGAGAGCTGGGACTGCGCACCTGCATAGTCGATACCATGCGTCGCTGTGGCGTTCAAGGCTGGTTGATGCACTGTGTACGTCAGCTGAACACGCGCATCTCCTAGGAGAACAGAACGCCATACCGAATTGAGGTATGCGAATAGTCTGGGACTGCAGAGACAGTCAGTATCTCTCGCGGACTATGCACCGAGACATGCCGGGACGCAGCCCTATCTTCCAAGGTGCATGATCCACGCCTCCAGCTTTCAGATATGCAAAACCAGCACGGAACAGTACTTCGAAGCGGTTCAGGCCAAATTATGGGTGTGGCTGGAGATCAGCAATGAGTTACCACTGGATCACACGCGGCATGAGCCCACCTTCTCTGGCTACGCATCCGTAACGGTCGAAGTTGACAACAACAGATTTTCGTCAACAAGAAGGTGCCGCCAAGTTGTGCGTTCCTGCAGCGAAATATGTCAGGGTCGCCGCCTCGCATACGAGCTCATTCGCCCTCGCCGTTTGGGCGAGATGTAAAGAGGGTCTTCTACCGCGGTACCACATCCTCATCATGCGCGAATACGACAACACATTCGTAACGCAACATACTATCAGAGATCCTTCGTTTATCTAGTGGGTAGTATGGATATGTTGAGCCTGTTGACAGACAAGAGAAGTATATAACACGGTCAGCGCCACGGTGTGAGCTGAGCTGTGTACATATCTGGAAGCTACGTGGACTCGCTACCACGATCGCAAGGTGGACGAGTTATTTTTCTTTGTTGAGAGAAATTTTTACTAAACAGGGTCTCCTTTAACATATCACTATTCTCACTCATCAGTCCTTTCCAGGAGCACCGGAGGAACGTTCGCTCTTCTTCGAAGATGTCTTCATCCGACTCTACAATGGATACGACACCACCTACACCGGAGCGCAAAGTCGACTTCGTCATTGAGGAACAGGACTTGGGACGTATACCACTTACTCAGCCCCAAGTCTTCAACAATACCCTCTCTCGCCGCCTCAGTCGCCCTACGCTTCCTCCATCCCTCCCCTCTCAGACACCCTCCGCCAAATGGAAGCGATCGGAGGGCTTTTGGCGATCATTCGTTGCTATATGCATCCCATTACTTCTCTCCGCTCTTGAGGGTAGTGTAACCAACACCGCCCTCCCTACCATCTCGGAGGCCTTGGATCTCGGCACCAAATTCTCCTGGGTTGCGACCGCGTTCCTCCTCGCAAGCACCATCCTCCAGCCTCTATACTCCCAGTTCGGAGATATGTGGGGAAGGAAAACTCCCATGATGACTGCTGTTGCCGTCTTCGCAGTAGGCTCAGCTATTTGCGGTGGCGCTCAGAGCGGCGCAGTGCTTATTGCTGGACGCATTGTCCAAGGTCTGGGTACCGGTGGAATTGATCTGTTTGCCGAGATGATTCTCTGCGACATCGTGCCATTGAGAAAGAGAGGTCCGTACTTGGCGATCAAGCACGTTGCTTTCGCCGCTGGCACCACACTCGGCCCACTCCTAGGAGGAGTCTTCGCTGAACACGGCTGGCGATGGTGTTTCCTCATCAACATACCCGTCTGCGCCATCTCCCTGGTCGTCATCTGGCGCTGGCTAAATGTCGGTGGAAGTAACACTATCCCAGAAACAACCCTTCGACAAGAGTTGAAGAAGGTGGATTACGTCGGAAGCGGCATGCTCACGGGCTCCGTTCTGATGCTTCTCGTCTCTCTCAGCACAGGCGGCGCACCAAAGCCCTGGTCTCACTTCTCCGTTGTCATACCCATGGTCTTCGGCATCCTGGGTCTCATCAGCTTCGGTTTCTGGGAACGCTGCTCCTACTGCTCCTACCCCATCATGCCACCGCACGTCTTCTCGAACCGCACCACGAACATCGCTTTCGCATTGACAACCATGCACGGCTTCATAACTTACGGTTTCCAATTCTATCTCCCGCCTTTCTTTCAAGCAGTCAAGGGCTCCTCACCCACACAATCAGGTCTAGAAGTCATGCCCACGACCCTCGTTATCGTCGTCCTCGCCGCAGTTGGCGGCCCCTTACTCAGCTACTGGGGCAAATACAAACCCATGCACATCATCGGCTTCGCTTTGACGACCCTCGGTCTAGGCCTCTGCACACTGCTCAACGCCAAGTCCTCAATCGGTGTCTGGCTCTCCCTCCAGCTCATCACCGCAGCTGGTCTCGGCATAGTCATCAGCACAATGCTTCCCGCCGTACAAGTCAAGCTCCCCGAATCCACGACCGGCGCAAGCGCAGGCTCCTGGGCCTTCCTCCGCGGCACGGGCTCTCTCTTTGGTGTCGCCATCCCTGGTGCCATCTTCAACGTTCGCTTCGCATCTCTCCTTCCTACCATCTCCTCTGCAACTGCTCGTGCTAAGCTGGAAAATGGTCAGGCGTACCAACGCGCTACAGCTTCTTTCATCGCCACGCAAGCCACTTCACCCACCATCAAAGCTGAGATTATCAATGCGTTTACGCAAAGTCTCAAGTGCGTGTGGATTGTTTTTGCGGTTCTAGCAGGAATCGGCTTTTGTCTTACGTGGGGTGAGAAGGAGTACAAGATGCGGAAGGAACTTAATACGGTGTATGGGCTCAAGGCGAAGAAGACGGGGGGCAGTGCGTGTACGACGCCGGGGGCTGTGGACTCTGGGGTTGCTACACCGGTTAATGTGGATAGTAGTGATGAGGAGGTGAGCAAGGCGAACGGGGAGGATGATGGGTGTGCGGTTGAGATGGATGAGGATGATGTTGAGTTGGGGGATATTAGGAGGAGAAGCGGTGAGGCGTGATAGGCATGCGGGCAGGGCAGGGCAGATATCCTGCTTGTAATCATAGTGGAATTGAGAAGATCTTTTCATTCAGACTTTGAGCTGCGCGTTCTGGTTGGTACAAGTGGGCGCCAAACATTCTGCTTAAGACTCCACGTAACCGATGCTAAATGCAGCGTACCTAGTGCATATCTACTCTAAACCTCCTACGAACATGTCTCTACCCGAACAACAACCTCCTACCTCCTTATCCGCGACTTCACTCCCTCTATCACGGCCACATCCCGCCGCCCCTTATGCTTCCCATCCTCCGTTTCGCCTCTCCAAACCTCCTCCTCGCCTCCTCAAACACTCTCTGCGCCTCAATCACCTCCATCCTCCTCACGTTAAACTCATGCGTTGCTCTCTGCGCTGCCTGGACACGAGGATCTATCCTCGGCGCTGGATATGTATCGCGCATGTATGATTCAAAGAGAGTGCCGCTGGCCTCATCGTTGCCGGTGATTTTGTCGCTACCGTAACTGTTATCCGCAATGTTTAGGAGATCTGATTTTGGGGGTTCGTAAGTGTTCTGTCGTACCGGACAAGGCGTATCCGGATCTCCTCCAAATTCCCGAGCTAGGCTATTGAACAGGGGCGTGAAAGACGAGAACGGTGGAACGATGCCAGGCGACGTAGCAGTAGGCGTGGGGATTTCAGCAATGACAATCGGAGGGGGTCGGGAGCGGCGCTGCGTCTGGGGTGTGGTGGTCGTCGAAGGAAGTGTTGCCGTTATCGTTGCTTGGGAATCCGGGGGCGTGGGTATATCGTCGAAGTTGATGCAAATTGGCGTGCTAGGCTCGTTGTTGTTGTTGTTGGTAGTGTTGTTGTCTTCGGAGATGACACAGAGTTCTTCTTTCAGTCGTTTCGCTAATCTTTGTGCGTCTTCGTCTTCTTCATCCGCAGTAACGGCATTCATCTCCTGTCTAATCGAGTATTTCCTCTTCCTCGTTTCATCTTCTTTGATTGGAACGGGCCCTTGCATTTCGCGGCCTCGGCTCATTCTTCGTAAACTCTCACATGCCTTTTTGACATCACTGAGTTCCAAGATGGCGAAGATCCTTTGGGATTTTCCGCTGTATGAGCCTTCGCGAATGCGCGCTTGGAAGTAGGTGTTTAGGAGGTTGTGCGCTCGGTCTCGTTGGCCGATTGTTAGTGTCGAGAGTTCGTGGATGGCTTGGATAATTGGGGCCGGGAGGCAGTTGATTGGGACGCCGGCGAGGAGTGAGGGTGGAAGGATGGGTTCTTCTGAGGTCGCGGGGTGGATGAACCAGTTTTGTTGGATGGCTTGGATGTGGTTTATGATGTCTATCTGGCATGCTGCACTGTTGGAATTTGATGTGTTGGACATGTTTGTCATTCCCATATTGCTTATCGTGTGTTGGGCTCTTGGTTGATGGAAGATACTGGAATGCGGGTGCAGTTTGTGACACAATGTCACGATCATAAGATGTGCCTCGACGCTGATTCATAGCTAGAAGTGCTACAACAAAGAGTCGGTGGCTACAAAGGTCATGGGTTGAGTCCCGGCTTTGTCCGTGATCGAGTCCGAAAACTCGTGTCTGGTGGCGCTTTGTCCAGTGGCTCTATAACAGTGTCGCAGACCGCACTTGACGTAACGGAGGCTGTGCGAGAGGCGAACTTCATAGTATAGAAGTCATGAGGCGTGTTTCAGCTTGAGGTCGAAACATTATCAGCGGATGGGCTCGTATCTTGGAGCGCTGGTGCGGTCGGCATAGACAGGAGATAAACATACATCAGAGTAGGAGCCTAAAGTAGAACAGATGACGACCCAGTATAAAGTATACGCATTAGTCGAAGAGACCCAGAAAAATCAAGATAAAATCATTGTCGACCCATTACCTACACTTCATGATGACCACCAAACGTCAACCTCTCCAACGTAGCCTCCCGCCTACCGATTCCCCCTCAGTATATCTCCAATCTGACTAAACGGATTCCTTAAACCCCGCGCACCCCCTCCCCTCCCAGCCGTCGTACCCATCGTCTTCGGTGGATCGTGTTTGTAGCCACAAGAGGGATTCGTGCACCCATTTGGCGAAGTCTGTTGCCACCTGCAAAGGGTCTCCGACTGAAGTAGCTTTGAGTGTTTTTCGTTCCTGCGCGCTCCAGATGCATTGATTATATCCTCTAGCGACTGTTCGATGCGAATGGTAGGAGGCTGGTGTTGGGGTTGATCGTTCTTTGTTATCCTGTCGGCGAGTGAACGGTTTCCTCGAGGACCAGTTGGTGGGGTATGGTAACCAAATGGCGTTTGGCTATCAAAAGAGGTGGGCTGTTCACCCCTTGTTACACGCTCAGCAAGTGTCGGTTTGCGCACTACTGGCGCTGGTGATGTAGCTTGGGCGAACAGGTTCTTGCTGTTGCTGTTGTGAAAGCCAAAAGTCTGGTCTTGCTGCTTAGGTTGCAAGGTAGATCGCCCATCTCCCTTCATCTGCCCACCGAAAGGATTTGAACCACCCGGCAGGTGACTGGAAAAGGGATTCGTTTGGGAAAAGTTGCTGGATCGTGGTGCAGAGACAGGATCGATAACCATTTGGTCAGCCCGTGGAAACTGCTTTGACTGGCCTTTTGATGCCGCTTCTGTGAGGAAGAAAGGATCGTGGCTGTGTTTACATCTCCCACCGAATCTGCAACTACCGCTCAACCAGAATTTGCATGCGGTGTGGGGTAGTTTGCAACTCCTGCCTAATGTGCAGGTCCCGTTCTTGTATGCTGGGCAAGCCGCCGTGAAGTTACCGTCGCCGGCTGACATTCCAAATGGATGTGAGGGAGCGCCATTGGTAACACGTGTATTGAAGGGGTTTGACTGGCCCACACCGCGTGTAATTGACGTGGAGAAATCGACCGGACCAAAGCCCGGGTGTTGCTGCGAGCTATCGAATCCTCGAGAGTCCGTCATTTGAACGTCGTCGTCTTTCGGCGTAGGATGTTGTGATACCTGGCCGAATGAACCTGGCTGACCATATGACCCAACGTTCACAGAGCTTCCGAAGGAAGTGTCTAGAGAGCTCTGTGGCTGGTAGAAGCTACTGTTGGCAGTCTGATTACTACTGAAAGAAGAGTTCATTGAAGTGCCGCTCTTTCCTGCAGTAGCTGGAAGCGACAATGTCGAAGTGGCTTCGGGCTTCTTTTGGGCTCCCTGCCTCGCAGACAAGTTGGCTAGGTCGGTCTTGAGTCTGTTGATCTCAGTCGTTTGTTGCGAAATCTGGTCCTGGTACGATTTCTCGCGTTGAGCCGTTGCTGCAGCTTTTGCGGCCTTCTTCACACTCTCTTGAGCGCGTTCCTTCGCGGCGGTCATCTCAAGCGACTTGATCTGTTGCTTTAGCTGCTCTCGTTCCGCTTGGGCTCGTTGGACTTCTTCAAGACGTTGCTTCTCTTGCTGACGGGCCCGTTCCTCCTTCTGCAGACGTAGGGCTTCGGCCTTTTGCGCTCGGTATTCTGCCATCTGCTGTGCGTCGGGGCCGATGCTGGTCCTCGCAATCTTGTCCTCGGTTGCTTTCCGCAACGTCTCCATCGTCTCGTCGATCGACCCGGTTGGGAAGATAAAGCTCGCAGGTGGCGGGCTGAGCCAGCCTTCCATTTCTTCAATGTTGGTGACCAAATCGCCGAGGAGGTGGTGCGACCGTGAGTACTTTATCAGGTCGCGGAGGGCTCGGAGCCGGTATATTGGCAGCGATATGTAAGGCATGACGTTGCGCCATTGCTCTCCTTTGGCGAGAGTATAGTGTAGGCCGTTGAGACACTCGCGTACTTCGACGATGGATTGTGCGTTGACCTTGAAGCCATTTCCCATGACTCTGTCGATGACTATCATGTCATTTCGCACAGTCTCGTAGTGCTTCGCAAAGTCCTTCACAAGCGCGCCCTTCTTTTCGTTCTTTTGAGGGATGAGAGTTGTCAGACGAGGGATGACATGACGAGCCGCTGCATTCTGCTTGATGGTTCCTTTCAACGCGGCGTGGCTGAACAACTCGACAAGATCCTCTCGCCAGTCGTTCGCAACGTCGGCAGTATACTGCGAATAGCCGGCGATGTGTAAGCGCGCCTTGTACGCGCTGAAGCACATCTCAGCCATATACTTGGCGTTGTACTCCTTTTCGTTGGGGCGACTCCTCTTCGAACGCGCTGCGATGGGAGTCGCATTGGGTTCAGCCTAGACGTCTGCGTTAGTTCAGAAGGAAGAGATCTGAAGATAAGTGGCTCACCAATTCTGACTGGCTGTTCGCAGTAGCTCGCTTCCTCTTTCCACCAGCCAGAGGAACTGCGTATGTTTGGTAGCCAGGGCCGTTGGCGGCCGAGGAGTGAGCCATTGCGCTTGGTGATTAGGAAGAGCTCGATGGAGTTGCTGTCGTTATCTTGTGGCTAGTAAGCGTGTTTTCAAAACGAAAGTAGGACTTGGAGAGCGAATTTGTCAAGTGGATGTCGGATCAAGTTTGTGTAGTCAAGCAGGGGTTGAGTACGGGCTATTGTACACGCCACTAAGCCCGAATCAGGTATCGAGTGGGTATTACGAATAGAGCGTGGTCGTGAAGGGGAAGAACGATAGCTATGGGTCCGTGCGAAGTGAATGTGTGTTGGACAAAGACGTGGCTTGAAAGACCAGCACAAGGGCGACTAGGAGTAGATGGTGAATGAGAGGCGTCACGATGGTTCATATTCGTTCTGGTTTGCGCATACAGTAGCTCTTCAGCTGTGGTGGTAACAGGTGAAGAATAAGAATCTAGTGATTATCGAGGTACAGTCCAGTCTTCAGTGCTGGGGCACAGGGAGAGAATCTAAGAAGGGTACCTGAGCTAGAAAACATACTCGATGTAGGGACGTAGAGAACTTGACTTTGAAATGGGAGACGCATGAGGGAAACAAGATAGGACGACTGTTTTGATAGCAAACCGCAAAGGGGATAGCTTGCTCAGGCTTCCCCATGGGCCACAGACCAGACCTATGAATGCTGTATGGCATGGTGGCTGTAACGATGCTGTCGCGACTACTCCACACTGGTTGATGTCCAGGGTCGTTCCTTCCTGGGATTTCTCATGCCGAATGTTTGTTTCACTTAGGCCTGGCGTTCTTGAAGGCCATATGTGAACTATGTGAAGAAGGAAAAAGGAAATACGAACAAGGTTCAGGTGTTGCTGGCTCGGCGATGGCCGCCCTAGCGCAAATGTTGGGCAGGCACGGGATGCGGAGAGCAGATCGCGACGGGGAAGAGCGACCGAGGCAGGGTCGTCCCTCACCCGTCGATGTTTGGCCTCTCCAACATTGGAAGGCATCGCGACCATGCGCAATCCCGTGGCGTGTGTGTCCTGCAGGTCCGCGAAACAGAAGTGCATCCACGAAGACCGGCCGCCGTGCGACAGGTGCAAGCAGTGTGGGCGCGCCGATCGGTGCGAGTTCCCAGGTGCGTCGAAGCTCCTGCCGTCCCCTATAGTGCGCGTGTTGACAGACGATAGCGCCAGGAACCAGCGCGATACACCGCAAGCCCAAGCGACCACGGCCCTCTGAAGATGCAGGAGACACGCCGACACCAGCCAACTCGAGTACGACGGTTGTAGCGCCCCATCAGGGCCGCCATGACGCACATCTGCCGACCGGCACCCAGCCGGCACAGCACGCGTCGCCGAATGCGGCATCCGCGCTGCTCGACGGCCTCGATCCCTTTGAGCTGCTGACGGACGAGGTCAAGAACAGCTACCTCAGATGCAGCTACAAATGGAGTTTCCACCACACGCCGACGCTGCTGCGCCGGATCCGCGACCGCACCCTCGAGCCATGGATGGCCTGGGCGATCCTGGCACTGGCCATCAGGTATGCGCGCACCCAGAATGCAGGCAGTCACATATCTAACATGACGTAGATTCGTCAAGGAGCCGCCCTCGCCCTTCCGCTCGCAGACTGAGGCCAGCAATGCCTATGCCGCCCACGCCCGCCAGATCCTGCAGCAGGACCTCGAGACGCCCTCGATAAGCCGCGTCCAAGCCCTGTTGATGCTGACGGGCCACGACTGGGGCGCCGGCAATGGAAGGCGGGCGTGGATATATCTGGGCATGGCCATACGGCTCGTCGAAGTCATGGACCTGACGCGCGAGACCGGCATACCGCGAAACCGCGTGCCGACGCGCGAGGAGTTCATCGAGGCTGAAGTGCGCCGCCGGACTGCCTGGACCTGCTTCCTCATGGACTCGCTGCTCAGTGGCGGCAAGGGGCGCAAGCGATCGTTGACGGCCGCCGACATGAAGATTCAGCTACCCTGCGAGCGCGAGGACTTCGTCTTCGGGGAGCCTGTGTGCACACCGCAGCTAGACAACACACAGCGCATGCCGCCAGTAGCCCTGCCAGTAGGAGAGATTGGCATCATCGGATATAGTATGCGCGCTGCCAACATCTGGGGCAAGGTCGCGCGCTGGGCGTGCTCTGAAGACCTCAAGAGCGAACTGCCATGGGCCTCCTCGTCGCAGTTCCAGCAGCTCATATACGAACTCGAAGGCTGGAAGGCCTCGCTCCCACAGCGCCTGCAGTACGACCTCTTCACCCTCCACAGCCACAATGCCGTCGAGCAAGGCCAAGCGTATTGCTATATGCACTGCATACACTTCATGAGCTACATGTTCCTGCATCGCGCCTACCTGCCCGTTCTGGGACCGCAACAGAACGGGGCGAACCCTGAAGAGACGCCCAACTCCTACGACGAACACCGTGACATGTGGAAGAAGTGGGAGAAGACTTCACGCAAGGAGCTGTTCAAAGACTCCGTCATGGTCCTAGACATGCTCGAGGAGATGCGCACTTTCGGCGTCTACTTCCTGCGAGGCCTAGTGCCGTGGATCGGCTTCACCATCTACACTGCAGTCGGCGCAATGTTGTACAGTTTCAACTTCCCGAGTGGTGATGATGACCCTCGCTGGCGGGAGAAGGCGCGTAAGAGCGTCATCCAGGGCTGCAACTTCCTGAAGGAGATGAAGACGCAATGGCCCATGGCAGAGACCTGGGTGAGTAACTCAAGAGATCTAGAAAACACACGCTGACAGCCCCAGTATGATACCATCAGGCGCATGCAGGCATACTACCGCTCAATACTTGGCCAGGACGGCCCGGCATCACCCGAAGAACGACGAGCCTTGCGACATGCTATGATCGACTACGGCGCGTTGCAGCCCTCGCCTGTACAAAAGCCAGCTGATGCTCGAGACATCGCTTCCAGCAGGTCCCCTTCACAACAGCACAACGACCAGCGCAAACCCATGATCGCCAACCTCACCAACCCACCCGTTAGAAGCCCTTTGCCCGCTACAAGCCCCATGCCTGCCGCAGCGCCCACACCCAACAGCTACTCATCAAACTTCTCGTGGAACACGCCTCCAGCGGTGCCCCCGTTGGAAGCCGACGAGACCTTCAACCTTGACTCGTTCGAATCATTCGCCTTGACGAATGAAGAGTTAGAGGCTATGATGATCAATGCGACACAGGAATTCTGGGCTAGCTTCCCGGGCGAAGTGGGTGTGGGATATTAGGGAAACGTGGTTCGGATTGCTACGATCTGGCGTTAATGGAAGGGACAAAACGGGCGGTCTCGTATGTTACATGTAATAATAGTAATTTATTTTCCAAGCAAGCGTCGTCGGCAGCTTCGTCTAATGTATACTTGAGATGTGCATTCCCGCTACGCCCCATGATGCAATTTGACTCTCACCTTCCATCACCTCGCAACTGCGAAGATCGCCACTTCACATTCAAGCCCACCCAAAAGCTTAGAACAAAAGCTAACCACCTATCGCAGATGCCCACAAGGCGGGTACCTGAACACTCCCTCGTTTCATCACACAGATGCCGTAGGTGCAGGGCGAAGCCGGATAAGTCGGCACACAGGCGGCTTGTTTTGTAGAATGATGGGCACACACCGAACTGGGGTGGAGCGCGATCCACAAGCTTAAGTTGACTACCTCTGGCAACTTCCTGACGCGTTCTCTTGCACTTTATCTCCTCTGTCGATTTCCAACGATGTTATCTTACGCCCTGAATTGGATGTCGTTGCGGCAACCGGTGTCTTTCGGTCCTTCTCTGGTAAGGAAGAGGAGCTTGCCCATTTGGACTAGCGCGATTTGAATGAAAGAGAAGGGACAAGGGATTTCGACTTTCGATGCGTCACGCTTCCGACGCAATGCATTGGAGATCGCACGCATTCACATTCTCTTTGAGGGCCCTCGATCTTAAGAAAAGAAGGCACCAATCTGTCTGCAACTATTGGCTAGCTGTGGATGATGGCGACTGTAGCGGAACTAATCTGGTCTCCGAAACCACCCGTGGTGTCCTGATCACCACGCAGGCATTGGCAGGATCCCACACCAGCGGCGATATGATTTACATCGCCGCGCAACGCTGGGTACCGCTGCGTTATCTGATGTACACATCCCAAGAGACCGGACTTGTGTAGCCTGATGGCAAACACAGCCCCTCAGCATCATCTATGCAGATAGTGAGTCCATCATGGAGGTACTTCCTCATAGCGGTTGGCGGGCCAAGAGTTCGCCTCTGTTGGTAAACGGATCCTAGTGTACGCATGATACCACCGAGCCGGACTCTGATTGAGTTGACCCGCAAGTCACAAACTGGTCCAAGAGATGCCATGCGAGGTCCCCTTTGTCCGGTTTGCACTTCAACATCCAATATATCGTCTGACCTACAACAAGGCTACAGTTCGCTTCAAGAGCTTGACACAGGAAGTCGCCGACAACTCCAACTACATGCAGGTCACTAACTTTGTACGGCGGTTTCCGCATCTCATACATCAAAGCGCAACACCCTCCTGATGCCATCCAAGTGCATCCGCAACACTCTTCGACACCATGTGTTATCATACAGACACACTGTTGGTCAGAACAGCAACCTCGGCGCTCGCGAAGGATGGGCTCGAAAATCGCGCAGGAGCTACTTCCGCTAGACGATATTCCGGAGATGGCAGACCTCACGATGTCAGTCGCGTAGCCATGGGCGTTAATCTCTCGGCTTGCATGCTGGAAACGCCAAGGAGAATCTGTTGCAAATTCTTAGGCGTGTCCGTCAGCTTTCGGACACTGTTCTGGAAGGTGAATTAATGCATGAGCAAATAAGATGCGTGGGAAAGATGCCAGGACCCAGGGCCGTGGGAGGGCCTGGTTCAGCTGGTAGATGGATGTCGACGTCTGACGACCGTTGATGTTACCCACGTTTTGACGTGCGATGCTCCCATTGGCTGACCTTTCTACACGAGACCACTCCACGCCCGAACGCTACGAGCTTTGCCAAGATGCGGCCAAGAGACATGGCTGTCAAAGTTATCGGCTTGGTAGCTTCAATGAGAGGTTGCGAACTGAAAGCGCTAAGCTCCGCCATCATTCACCAGAGTTGCTTGACTGCGCTAGTGGGGAGATCTTGACGGCCTTGGCAAAGAATCCGCCATCCTTCTACGCCCTGCCCAATCACAACTTCGGTTCGAGCACACGTTCTCTTGGCGAATGCTCTCACGTTGCGGCCTGTGAGTGGTGGCTGCATAGTAGCTGGACATGCAGGGCGTCGGATGTCACCCATCAGTCTGGAATCAATCGAAGGGATTGACGCCGTAAGCCAATACGGGCCTTCTCCGCCGCAAAGAGCGACCTGAAGCGTCTCTTTCAATATATATACATGTCTTACAGAGGGCCCTCCCTTACTTTCGGCATCCCAGCTCCAACTTCAAACAGCCTTCTTTGTCATTGAGCGACTTGTACTGCTCAAGGATCAGTCATCATGGCGCGTCTTACACAGTACAACTATGTCTTCGCCATTGGCACTTTTTTTGCCATGCTCGATGCATACAACAACGGTGCCAGTACGTGCAGATTACTGTCACTCCATCATGCTCCAGACTAACACTGTACAGACGATGTTGCCAACGCATGGGCTACCTCTGTTTCTTCCCGTTCGGTCTCCTACCGCCAGGCCATGATCCTGGGTACCATCTTCGAGATGGTTGGTGCCATCACCGTTGGTGCTCGTACCGCTGAGACGATCAAGAATGGCATTATCCCTCCCAATGCTTTCAAGGACGATGCCGGTGTTCAGATGCTCGCATTCACTTGTGCTCTCGCTGGTGCCTCTATGTGGGTTATGGTAAGTGTCACTGTACTAATCGCATTTGCAACATACACTGACTCCGTATATAGTGGTGTACCAAGCACTCCGCTCACGTCTCATCGTCTTACTCGCTCATCTCTTCCGTCGCTGGTGTTGGTGTCGCCGTTGCTGGCGCTGCTAACGTACAATGGGGTTGGAACAAGGGCAAGGGTCTTGGTGCCATCTTCGCAGGTCTCGGAATGGCACCTGCCGCTTCTGCCTGCTTCGGTGCCATCATCTTCATGCTGATCAAGATGACCGTCCACGTCCGCAAGAACCCCATTCCGTGGGCCATCTGGACTGCGCCTTTCTTCTTCCTCGTTGCTGGAACCATTTGCACGCTTTCCATCGTCTACAAAGGATCGCCCAACCTCGGTCTCAACAAGAAGCCAGCGTGGTATGTCGCAACCGTCACCATGTCTTGCGGTGTCGGTCTAGCCTTCCTATCCTTCCTCTTCTTCGTCCCTTACCTACACGCCAAGGTCGTGAAGCGCGACCACACCGTCCGCTGGTACCACGTCTTCCAAGGCCCTCTTCTCTTCAAGCGCCCTGTCCCGGATGGCGCCGAGGCTGCCGTTGTTCCCGACTACGCCGTCGTCCAGGAGGACGAAGAGATGAAGAAGCCCGAGCAGAACAACGACTCCGAAGAGGGCATCACCGTCCACGACCACGAGAAGATGGCCGTCTCCACCGACATCGCCGAGCACCAACAACCCAGCTACAAGGAACTCGTCGCCCAAGGCCAAGAGCGCTTTCACTCCAAGCTCCGCGCCAAGAAGGGACCTCTCGGCTGGGCCATGCGCTACCTCCACGAGAACAAGATCCAAACGGGCGAGATCTACGAAAAGAAGAACATGCTCATCACTCTGAAGCGTATCCCCGCCATGCTCGTCGTCGGCGCCCTCTACGGCGTAAACTACGACATTCACGCCGCGCAAACCGGTATCCACGGCACACCCGAAGGCCGCCGCATGGAGCGCGTCTACAGCCACGCAAAGAAGTACTCCAACGAAGTCGAGCACACCTACTCCTTCGTCCAAGTCCTCACCGCCTGCACCGCCTCCTTCGCCCACGGCGCCAACGACATCGGAAACGCCGTCGGCCCCTGGGCCGTCATCTACGGCGCGTGGAATACAGGAAAAGCCTCGCAGTCCAAAGCATCCGTGCCCGTCTGGCAACTCGCTGTCCTCTCTGCTACCCTCTCACTCGGTCTCGTTACTTACGGCTACAACATCATGAAGGTCATGGGTAACAAGATTACGTATCACTCGCCTAGCAGAGGTTGCAGCATGGAAATGGGTGCCGCGCTTACGGTGCTTATCTTCTCGCAGTACTCGCTTCCTGTTTCGACGTCCATGTGTATTACCGGTGCGACGGTTGGTGTGGGTCTTTGCAATGGCACGCTCAAGGCTGTTAACTGGCAGAGAGTGGGTCTGCTGGTGTTTTCTTGGATTATGACTATTCCCATTGCGGGGACTATTGGTGGTGTTTCTTGCGCGATTGTGCTTAACGCTCCTCACTTTGGTTAGATGGAGGTGTTGGAGCGGTAGAGAGATCTTGGGGTGTTTTCAGTCGTGTCTTGGAAAAGGATAGTAGATTGGGTTTTGTACCTGCTTGCGTTTTAGTAGCGACACCTTTGGGTGATTAGCATGCGAATCGTCTATTCATGTGCATATTTCGTCAACTTCCCTCGTGTTTCCATGTCTCAATTACCATTTTTGGAGAACTTGCTATAGACACACTGACCCCTTGGCTCGCTTCTACTGCCTTTGATACCCTTGCGTAATTTATAATCTACGATGCAGCATTTTCGACAAAGCAATCTGCCTTCACGGGTGCAGTAAGTCGCATGTCCTTATTCTCTACACCACCACGCCGCAACGCGTCGTCAAGACCAATGAACATAAATAACTTGGGAGAGTATTGAAGAAGTTCACTTTAGGCCATTTTAGTGAAGAACTAATGATGAAGGCAGAGCTCTGGTAATTTGAAGATCATCGCGCCGAGTACTTCCAACCCCGACAACAGTCTTCCTACTTATAGCAGATTCGAGATTCAAAAACTTTGGGAAAATAAAAGAAGAATATACGCGGTATCTAACAGGCTGCACGTCGTGCTGATAGTAGAGCACCTGATTTGATCCACCCGAACTGCCCTGCTCTTGGAACATAAGAAGAAAGAGTTGAGAAAGGAAAACATCTCGCTGAAAACCTGAAAGATGCAAAACGCATCCCAATCTGTAACAACACCCACTATCTTCGAAGCAAGAGGCATTCCAAGCTACTGACCACGTCCGTTTCCTCGGCCACCTGGTCTACCACCACGGCCTCCACGACCTCCACGGGGACGCCAGTAGCCACGCTGCCGGCCTGCATTGATGCGGTCAGCATCGGCTTGAGTCAGGCTGTAGCCTGCCTGATTGTAATTCCATGATGGCTGTACTACTTGAACGGAAGGCTGCGCGGAGCCCCGACCCCGTCCTCGTCCAGACGAGCGGCGGTTGGAAGAAGATCCTCGTCCTCGTCCACGTCCACGGGGAGCTGGTTGCGGTGGTGCTGGGGCCGGGTCTTGGACTAAGTTTAGGTTGCGCAACACGGCCGTGAGGGCCGACATATCGGGAGCTGGCGGGTCAGGCGACGTGGTCTGGGAAGCGCCAAATGGGGAGTAGGAGCTCGAGGCCTGTGGAGGGTTCGACGAGCTGGGGGCGCTGGGAACGGGTGGGTTTAGGACACGGTCCAGGACATCTTGAGTGACATTGTTGAAAGCCTGGAGGACAACCCTCTGGCCTGCAAGTGTTGTGCCATTGAGCTGCTCAACAGCCTGGTCGCGGCCCTCAGCTGTTTGCATCAAGACAATACCAGACAACATGCGATTTCCTCCGACTTCAGCACGATCGATACCTTCGGGGCGAAACGGGTGGAGAAACGCCATGACTACATCGTTATCGAGCTCGGGCGGGATGTCGGTCATGAAGAGTACTCGGTTTCGCGTATCTTCTCGATTATCGAGATCAGGAGAAGGGACGCGATGCGGAGGCAAAACGTCACCCAGATTTTGGAGAACTCGTGGGATCAGGTCAGCAAGAGCTAAACGCTTCTTCGCCACCTGAGCTTTGGCCTGAGCTTCTAGTTCTTTCTCCTTTCGAGCTTTCTCTTCACGCTCCCGCACGACCTTTTCGTGTTCTTCTTGCAATGCTTGGCTCTCCTTTACTCTTGCTTCTCGTGCTTCTCGGAGCCGCACGGCTTCTTCTTCGCGTCGACGTGCTTCGTCTTCGCGAGTGATCCCGAGAGCTGGAAAGTCCGAATCGGTAAGCCCACGAGTACCGTAAGGCCGTCCAGGTAAGGCTGAATCAGGGCCAGAAAGTCCAGGGCGAACGACACCGTCGTGATTGTCGTTAACTGTGGAGAGATTAGCAAAAAGAACGCAAAGAGCTTCTCAACATGGAACACTAACCTATGTAATTGCCAGAAGGAGCAGCTTCCACGCGCACACGATTGCCACGGATGTAGTCATTCGTCCACCTTACGGGATGAACATGCCCGAACATGACGTATATACTCGAATTCGCCCCTGTTCGTGGATGAGCTGCGCGAACCTGATCGAGGATCATATGGTTTTGGAAGAAATCGCGGATGTCGTCTTCAGTCGCGGCGCGTGGGACATTGTCTACACGATAGACTCGGTTACCGGCAGGTCGACTGTATCTAAACTCAACCATTTTTACAGAATACAGCCAGAGTTCTAAGTCTTTTAGGGATTGTTGATGAGAGGGCGGGGTATAGAGAAGGAGGAAAGAATGGGTCTAGGTTATATAGGTAGCGGGCAGGAAGAGAAGGAACAACTTCGGCGTGCGTGAACAGTGCGAGACAGACTTCGCGGAGTGGTTCATAAGTTCCACGGAAGGGCATGCGCGAAGGAGGAGAATGTTTGTATACAACAATTAGTGAAAGAGTCGCAACCAATTCATGATTGATCAGGCAGCGCGACCCGTGGGTTTTCATGACCAGTGATAATGAATGTCGAAGGGATGTTGCCATGACAAAGACTGCCCACTTTGGAAAGTCGTCAGTAGGATTTTCTTTTCTTGGCCTAGCCATGCGCCGTATACCTTATTATATTTGAGTTGTCGTGAAGAGATAGGATCACGGATGTAGATCCTAGCGACTGTGATCCGGGGGCGTCCACCAGCTACTCCACGATATGACAACCCACATATTGATGGCACTTCCTCTGGGTATCGCAGTAGACATAATCGAGATGTCGATTTAACCAGATGATAGGACAGTCGCGAAGTGCAGTGAATTAGATGGTGACGCAACGAAAGAAGAAGCTACGTCAATCAGCATCTTCGGTATAGCGAGGAGGTTTTGCTGATATGAACGTGCTATTGCTGCGGTCACGATCAAGACGGTTGCCCTACGAAGCGACATTGTGTGGTGCGACTTCAAGTCAGAGGACGCAGGGCGGAGTGAAAGCTAGATGCTGAAGTCATCGGCTGGAAATGTGATTACGTCAACTCGGCCCGTGCGCCACCAGCGCCGCTTCTCGTGGTCCAAATCTCCAGACGCGCCGAGCACGCGTCAACGATTAACGCGCATCTTGTTCTCATCCGGAACTGCCTCGGATTCCATAGAGTAGGTATGCGCACGAAAACAACATTAATGACATCTCTACCTTGTACCCACTCCCCAAACTATGCCGGATGTCACCAAAGTCCTCCTAACCTAAGCAATTCCATAACGCCTATCCTAGCTCCCTGATATGTGCTTCCGAGTGAGTAGCAAAGGAAAGCACCCTCCATGACCATCACTACAAGCAGCATCTAGTTCTCTTTACTCAATAACAGCTTCTGTCCGACCTGCAGTCCACCATGCGCATCGGCGTCGCGCAGGAACTCGCCCACCAGAGGATTCATACCACTCTGAACCGCACCATCCACCCACTCGCCTATGGGCAACGATCCCAGCCCACTACCCGCCTCGCCGCTCAACAGCTCCCGAATACTCTGCACGGGGATGATCTGGTCACCTGCGTGGTGCAGATACTCGACTCGTGAGTCGTTGTCAGCACCTGTAGTCGCCTGCAAGACCGAACGAGCGATGCCCTCAGTGACGTTCTCGAGAGAGACAAGATCTACATAGCCTGTCCAGCGGCTCAAGTCGGGCAGCGCCTTGATCAGGGACCCATATTCGAGGAGGTTGGACATGATGTCCTCAGCTGCATCGTCGCCCATGATGGCTGAGGGCCGGTGGATGAACACCGGTAGGCCGATCTGCTGGCTGACCTTTTCCAGGAAAACCTCGCTGACCCACTTGGAAGCCGCATAGCCGTTAGCTAGCCCTGCGCCACCGTCTGGATGAGGTGGGAAGCGGGCGAGCGACTCTGGAGCCAGTGTCTCGGACTTGTTGAACTTGCCTGCCGTGGCAGTCGAGACGAAATGGAGCGGAATACGGCGAGTAGATGCGAGCCGCACGAGTTCCTTTGTAGAGGAAACATTGGCGCTCCTGAGAGACTGGTATGTCTTGAGGAATGACACGTCTGCACCGTTGTGGATGATGGCGTCTGCTGAGGCTGAAATCGACTTGGCCTCCGCTTCCGTTAGTCCGCAGCGCGAAAGAGAAAGATCACCCTTGTGAAGTACGACCTTGGAGCAGCTTGCAAACTCGGCCAACTTGCTGATGTCGCGAATCGCAATGCAATGTATCTTGCCAACATCGGGGGCCTGGACTAGCAGTCGAAGCAGAGAGCTGCCCAGGAGGCCTGTCGCGCCGCTGATTACCACAGTCATGGAAGACGTGTGGTTCTGCACTGCTACTCCCGGAGCTTGGTGTGTGCTTCCTTCCAGAAGGTAGCTGGGGATCGCGGTTTCAGCCTCCCAGTCGATCGGCTTGTCAGCATCTGAAGATACATCCTGCATCATAGTTGCCATGGCGCCCAGTGTGCTGTTCTCAAACAGCTTCAATAGGGGCAGGCTGGCCTTGAAAGTCTTGTTGATGAGCTGCCGCAGCTCGATGAGCAGCATGGAGTTGCCACCAACGTGGAAAAAGTCAGAACTGGCGTCGATACGATGCATCTCCTGCATCTGCTCCGGCAGTGTGTCTAGCCAGACCTGGACCAGCTTGGATTCCATCTCTGTCAGCTCCTCTGTCGATCCTGATCCCCGCACAGTGCTTGGGATGGCGAGTCCTCGGAGAGCTCTTCTGTCCACTTTGCCAGCTGCATTTAGTGGCATCGAGGAAACGGCGATAATGGCCGCGGGTCGCATATACTGCGGCAGGTCCAGCGAGGCGGCGAGGTTGCTGAGGAATTGGATCTCGCTCTCCATCGACGTGTCTGAAGGCGACAGCACCGCATGTGCAATCAACAGGGCAGGGTCACCCCGAGGCGTAACTGCCACCATCTTTACACGTCCGTTGGCCGCGTCCAGTATGGACTGTTCGATATCTTGCAATTCGATACGCAGGCCTCTGAGTTTGATCTGCGTGTCTCCATCGATGCGACCGATGATTTCCAAGGAACCATCTGATCTGAGGACGCCCTTATCTCCAGTTCGGTACATTCTAGTCCACCCGTTCTGTGTAGCCACCGAAGTTGGCATAGGGTCGTGCAGGAACTTGCTTTGCGACTCATCGCTACTGTTGATGTATCCCATGGCTACGCCTGCGCCCGCGATGCAGACTTCTCCGGACCAACCGATTGGCAAGACGCTCAAATCTTGATCCACGATGTAGACACCGTAGTTTGGAAGGGTCCTACCAGCTGGAACAAGGCCATCATGGTGGTTTAGCAAGCTGAGATCCAGCTCGCTTGACGACATGGCGCATTCGGTCGGACCGTAAGCGTTGAAGTAGTGGAAATCGTGTTCGAAGCGGGCACCGAGCTTACGGAAGCTTTGCAGGAGCTCAGGCGAGAACTTCTCACCACCCGCCGTGGCATATGCCCAGTGTGTGCTTTGAAAAAGACTAATCGCGCCGTGCCTGAGCCAGGCGAGATATTCCGACGGGGTTGCGCTGGTGTATGTGATTTTCTCTTCCAGCACAATGTTGGCCACGGCTACAGGATCTTTGCGGAGGACTTCTGGAACGATGACGAGAGTACCTCCATTGGCGAGCGCCATGAAGATCTGGTTCAGAGACATGTCGAAACCCACGGAACTCTGCTGCAAGACCGTCTCACCTCCAAACCCATGCGTGTGTACCAAGGCCTCTACGTGGTTGCGCAAGCTACCGTGTGATAACATCACGCCTTTGGGAACTCCCGAGGTTCCACTGGTGAACAATATAGCCGCCGGCTCGCTCGCTCGGGCGGAGGCCGGAGGAAGAATTGATGTCCCACCCTGGAGAAGGAGGACATTCAGCACAGCCACGGATGGCGAGAGTTCCATGCTCGCGGTCTGGGGAGCCGTCGTGGTGTTGACAAGCAGCGCAGAGCACTTGGACTCTTCCATCATGACGCGGAGCCTCGCTGGTGGGATGTTGCAGTCCAAGGGAACGTAGACGGCGCCAACTCGGAGAATGGCAAGCAAGGAAAATACAAAGTGGGGCGACGGCTCCTGGAAGACCGCCACAACCGATCCGGGCTTCGTGCCTGCCTTGAGAAGTGCGGATGTTATCCTTCCGACATGTTGATCAAGCTGTTGGTATGTCCACGACATGCCGTTGCAGTCTTTGACTGAGGTCTCGTTCGGGTGCTTGGCGATCATCTCGTCGATACGATGCGCCAGAGTCTCCGGCCACTTGGAAGTCATTACGGGACCTGCAAGACGTTGTTAGCGCTCCGAGTCTGTGTTAAATGTGTAGACAGCCGACTTACCTTTTCCAAGCTCGATCGCAGTGCTGACATCCTGACTTGAGAATAAGGACACGTCCTGCAAGGCCATTCCGCAAGACCGAGAAAGGTCTTTCAACAAAGCGAAATACATGTCCAGAAGCTGGGATGCATCGCTTTCAGAGTACAGACCGCGCTGCACTAATAGAGTGACGCGAGTTTCGCCCCCTGGATTCTCGATGATGTCCAGAGACACGTCGTAACCGGACCCCGGGAGATCAATTGACTTGACTTCAGCCTCTGCACTATCGAAGCGTCGCTTCTCACTCACACCCTGGCGATAGTTGATGAATGCTTGGAAGAGAGGACTGATTGCTGTCGACCTCTCGCAGCTTACGTTGTCGAGCAAAACATCGAATGGCAGCCTCGAGTGGGACATTGCTCGATAAGCCTTCTTGCGCGTGTCTTTCAGCACCTCCTCGAATGAGTGCTGATTCTCCAAATGGAACCTGAGCGGCAGCAAGTTCAGATACATGCCGATGCTCTTCGCGACTCGGTCGTCCCAGCGGTTGGCGTCGGCCATACCAATGCAAACATCGCTATTGCCGAACAGCTTGAATAGGAGGACCTCAAACACGCCTAGGTGGAAGTGGAATAGATTTGCCTTCCGCTCGCGACATGCGTCTTGGATCTGCGATGAGAGCTGCGAGTCGATGACGCGACTCACTGAGTTGTGCGCGTATGCGGTCAGTGGGACGCGATTCTTGGCTGCCGAGAATGGAAGAAGAGGGAGCGGCGACGGCGGTGCTGCGAACTCGGACCGCCAGTACTCTACCTCACCTTGCATTACCCCCGATGCCAAGTCCCCGCGCAGTTTCTCCGAGTAGGACGAATACTGATACGCTGGCTCAACGTTCAGGTCTTGGCCGTTGTAGGCTTTCTGTAGGTCAT